AACATGGAAGACATGGGGGGGGGCATTTAGAAATCAAGCTTTTTTCCTTTATAAAAGTCCACTACAGAGGGATTAGAGCGCTAGAGATAAAGAACCTTTCAAAAAGACTGATTCAGGGCGGCAAAAATGGTTTTGCTAAGTTACGAGTCTGACGAAATCCTTCACTGTATTGTGATAAAAAAGTGCTATTCATAGCATTCAGTCAGTGACAAACAGCAGTGGCCTGCAGACAGAGGAAGTATGCCGAAACCATGAGAGTTTCTAACAGCACAGACAGTCCTCAACCGAGAAGACTGTTATCACCCCACCCATCCTGTCTCTGCCACACATACACACTCACATACACACAGCCATAGACATATACGCACACACACATACACTTGCCCAGACACGTGCTCACACATGAGCCCCTGCGTGGGGTCCCCCTACGGCAGCTGAGATAAGCCCAACGCTCTCATTGTTTCCACCTTTGTTGCCCCATGACTGGAGGATTTGTGAGTTTCTCATGCAGGGGATATTCCTGACCGCCGTGTGTCAAGTACAGGGCTGTAAATCGCCATTTGACAGATACATGCTTCAAAGGTGCAGCACCAATATTTTTTGCTCTTGGGGCTGTACTACTTTTCTCTGGCTGCATGAAAAATAATCATAAAATGATATCTGTCTTTTAATAAAAGGCCAATGCCCCCCCCCCCGACACCAGTGTAATGCTGCTGCGTAGATATTATGAGGTGTCATGTTCTCAGTGTGAGGCGTTGGAGCTGAGTACATAGACGGCGCAGCAGTCTGAGCACGTCTGACACACACCTCACCTAATCGGAAAGCCTTATCTTAGAAGTGTGACATCCTGTCTATGCTGTGTAATCCACCCTGGATCATGAAGAAGGTGGGCTGCACAGTGCGTGGATGTTTGCACACACACACACCCGCACGCACACACACACACACACACACACACACACACACACACACACACACACGCACACACACACACATTTTTGTGTGTATTTGAAATTAGCCCGGCTCTGTCACTTGCAGCAGGCCTGCTGTAAGTCAGAGAGCACTGTCAAGTTTCCATGAGAAGTGTATCGGTCGGGGTCTGAGTGTGTATGTGTGTGTCCCTCAGCCACAGACCCTGTTTGATAATGTTTAATCCCACATAGGAAGATATCATTCACTCTACCGGGATCATTTTAAGTGAATCAAATTATAGTGAAATTACACCAGTCTATGTTTTTACACTGGATCCCCTGAGAACCAGCACCACAGACATCACCGAGACGCTTTTT